TGAACATCGTGAATAAAGCACCAACCGGGACCCCACACACACTCTCTCCGAGTTGTGTATAGTGAACATGACAAAACATACATACAGCGTAATCACTACCTTACCCTTCCCGGACCGCATAAACAAACGAACTACGGGCTGTGCACCCGTGCCCTCAAGGTAAGTCAATCAGTCTCATTGTTTGTGCACATTCGGAGACTACTAGTGCAGTGGGGCCCAATTTTAGGCGGGGTCCATACAGCACCGCGCCGTGCACGGCCAATTTTTTTTTTTTTTTTTTTCAACACTGCCAAATTTTAGGACACTACCCGCGCAGGTACAGGTACCGCGTGCGGGCAATGGGCCTCGCTGCACTACTCCCGACATGCACAAGAGACAAAAATCATGGCGGTGCATCTTTCCGTATTCTAACGAAAGATTCACTCTCGTTTTTCACATTTCGAGAGTAGTGCACCGAGGCCCAATGTGGAGGGAGCGCGCTGGTCCGCTACCGCGGAGTCGAGGGAGAGCGCTCGTACAACCTTCTCAAGATTGTTTTTCTTTTTTTCTTTTTTTGTTTTTCGTTTTTGTTTTGTTTTTTCTCAAGAATTGTGCGAGTGCCTTGTTGGGAAAGGACTGCTGCCACACTGTGCGTCCGGCTAAGAGAATACCCACACTAGGACCTTTTCTACTGAGCTCTGGACGTTATTGAGGTCAGGTACATATAGATATGGACGTAATTCAGACCAGATGCATCGACTAAAGTCCTCTTGAGAGTATGCCCTAAGCTGCGCAAGACAGTCCACACTACTGCACTAGGATTTTTTCCACTGAGCTCTGGACGTTATCGAGGTCAGGTACATACATCTATGGACGTAATTCAGACCAGATGCATCGAGGAAAGTCCTCTTGAGTGTATGCCCTAAGCTGCGCAAGACGGTCCATTCGCTACTCTATTGTCCGCTGTGCCATGCTCTCCGCCCCGCGCGCTCCCGCGCTCTCCCGCGCTCTCCCACGCTGCGCTCTCCCACGCTCTCTCACCCTCTCCCGCGCTCTCCCACGCTTGCCCTTGACTTCGCTGCTACTCTGGGGGGCCTCGCTGCACTGCTCCGCAAATGCGCAAAATGAGACTGAATCCACCTGTGCAACATGGACAGATACATTACCATCCTTTTTGTCTTTTGTGCATGTGGAGAGTAGTGCCAGCGAACCCCTACACCTAGGGTATAGGCTATTGTGACTGAACAGTTGCTGTGCTACGCTGCGGGAGACAGAGACGGAGACACACATCACACGCACTTGATGAGTCGGTGAAAGTCCGACGAAAGAGTCTGGTGGCGCAGTCTGGTTTTGTTTTTGCGCAGTTGTGTATACCGAATACACAACACACACACACACACACACACACACACACACACACACAGAGAGAGAGAGAGAGAGAGAGAGAGAGAGGCTATGGTGGACAGTGCTCCACCTTGTGCTGTGACGAACACACGCAGACACACAGAGACACAAACACAAACACATCCAACCAGAACACAGAATCGCACACACACAGCCTGTCACCGAACACTCAATTAACACTTAACATTTTGGGGTGGGATTTGTCGTCGCTAAGCTCTTTTACATGCTGGAGGGACGCTGATTGGGGTCTGTATAGAGAAGGTCAGACGCTGAGGCTCGGGTTGTGCATTGCATGGAGGCGTTCAGACGACCGCGCCACCGTGACCGAAGGTGAGTAAACCCGCCGTTTTTGTTTCGTTTCCGTCGATGTTCTGCTTCTTTGGTTTGTGCGCTGTCGCTCTTGGTTGTCCGACCGAGAGAGAGAGAGAGAGAGAGAGAGAGAGAGAGAGAGAGAGAGAGAGAGAGAGAGAGAGAGAGAGAGAGAGAGAGAGTTTTCTATGCTATTCTACTGCGGTACGCTACGGTACTCTACTTGGTTCAGACGCGTCATCGGCGCCGTTGATCTTCTATCTCTCTCTCGTGATCGTCCGATCGATTGAGGTGGCATATCTCTTGCAGCACGAACTACCACGTCGATCGATCGATGGACCTGGGGGAGCGAGCGAGCGAGCGAGCGAGCGAGCGAGCGAGAGAGAGAGAGAGAGAGAGAGAGAGAGAGAGAGAGAGAGAGAGAGAGAGAGAGAGAGAGAGAGA